CGAAAATAATATTAAATTTTTTTTTTAGATTTTTCCATTTATTTTGCATTTTAAAATTATTTTTTAGAATATGTCAGTGTAATATTCTATTTAGAATATTTCACGTATTTTTCAAAAAAAATGGGATTTATTTTTATTTTTATTTTATTTTATTTATTTTTATTTTTTTTTAGTTAATTCAAGTTCCGGAAATAATATTTAAAAAAAGAATTTTTGGATTTTTCCATTTATTTTGAATTTTAAAATTATTTTTAGATTTTGGTCTCACGGTCTCACAAAACTAGAATGGTCTCAAATGAACCTGAACCTATATATATATATATATATATATATATATATATATATATATATATATATATATATATATATATATATATATATATATATATATATTTCCGTTTCCGGTGAAAACTCTTTTTTCGATAAGGATTCGTAAGGACATCTTAAAAAATTGAAAAAAAAATATAAATCATAAAATCGAGCATAGCACAATATTGGAGAGAAAAAAAATTATGAATTTTTTATTGGATAATTAAAATTGCATCATGGATCATAAAAAATGAATCATGGATAATAAAAATGATCAATAATTCAATTTTAATGATCCAAAAAAAAAATTTATAATTTGTATTTAAAAAATGATCCATAATACGTAAGAAATTTTTTTTCTCTCCAATATAATACTATGCCCAATTTTATAATTTGTATTTTAAAAAAATATCAATTTTTTAAGGTGTCTTCACTGAAAAAGAGTCTTCACATGATCATATATATATATATATATATATATAATATATATATATATATATATATATATATATATATATATATATATATATATATATATATATATAACGTTCGTAGATCATGGCTAGTCAATTTAGAGACGTTAAGCGTCAAAAATGACTTTTTGATGGAAGATTAATTTGAAGGAATAATCTTAAATAAGTTCTAGTATATGTTACAAGGATCTTGTGCATATAAAGAACGTCAAAATCCAAGTTATAACGAATAAGTTTAGATCTGTCGAAGTTTCGCGACAGAACCGGCACGACGCTGAATGACGTAAAAAATGAATTTACGTTAGAGTGATATTTAGCCTTAGCGATCTAAACGAAAGTTGTAAAGTTCGTTAAACCATGAGCGTGCATGAAAAGAACATCCGAATCTGACTTCGTATGAGAAAGTTATGGTTTTTCTAAGTTTCGACTTAGCGGTATGCAGCTCGAATACTCGATTTGAGATCAAGAAGTTTTTAGCCGAAAAAATATAGACGAGAATCGAAGATCTTGTTGATAGTAGTGCAACGGTAAAAAGACAGACGAAAACGGACGTCGGATGAAGAGGTTATGAATTTATAACGGAGTTTTCCTGTCCCGACCTATTAAAGTAATACAATAAAAATAAAGTCAACATTAGCCGATAGAGTCTAAACGAAAGTTCTAGTTCGTAGTCTCACCTATGCGGGGATATAAAAAACGTCGAAAACGGAGCTCGTATGAGGAAGATATGAATTTTTGAAGTTTATTAAATAATTAAAGTATTTAATTTAAATATAAATTCGGATATTATCCAAAGGGGGGAGTCACCGGGCTTATCCGGGTTACGCCCAGCGTACCTGGATTTACGCCCAGCGTAATTCGAAGAATCAACCCCTATATAAAGGGTGCGAGGGTCAGTCGAGTTCCTTGCTCAATTCCTCTTCTCTCTCTCTCTCTCCCATTTTACCTTGTTTTTCGTGAAAGAAATATCCCGAAGCCCCGGTATTAATCCTGAGCCCCGAAGCAAGTCTCGAAGCCCCGAAGATCCCAAGAAGTAAAATTTCCGAGCCGAAGCTCTGTCCGCGAGGAGCCCGATTTTTGTGAAGATCTTCCAGATCTACCGAAGAATACTACTTCTACAAGTTGTAGTGCTGTCCGGTCATCTTCTGATCAAGTGAGTGTGTGGTTACTTTCTTCTAACACATAAATATGAAGCATTTGCTTTGAAATGCGTGTTATGTGTTTATATACTATTGTTTATTTGAGATAAGTGTGGAATGGATACTTTATATGGTTTTTAAATGAGTTAAACCATATATGTATTTTATATCTACTAATATGTTGGGTAGAACATGGGTAGATGAGATAGTTGGTATGTGATAAAATGATGAGGTAAATGACGATGTATGTAAGATGCTTAAAGAATAATATTGGTAGATGAACCAAGTAGAGAATAATACTAGCAGATGCACTTGAAAATAATATTGGTAGATGCACCAAATAGAGAATGTCATAATACTATCAGATGTGCTTATAGGATAATCCTGGCAGATGCGCTTATAGGATAATGTCGGCTAATGCGCCCAAAAGATAATGTCATAAACTTGGCAGTCGCGCCTCATAGTGTATGACGTAATCCTGGCAGAGGCGCTTAAAGGATGATGTTGGTAGATGCGCCTTATGTAGCAATAGATTTTGTGCCAATTCCTTAGGTCAATCCTGATGAATGAATGGCGGGTAGTTGAATTCTGAGGGTAAAATCCTAAAAAATAAATAAGATAATGGGGATGGTTAATTGGGTTGATTGTTTGATGGTTGAATATAATAATTATATTATTGTAGGTTGAAAACCCTATATGCTCACCAGACTCCCAATCCTGACCCACTCAGTTTTCTTTGTATCACAAGTATTAATACGAAGACATATTTCACTGAGAGATTAAAGGATATGTAAATCATCAGTGTAAATAAATGTAAGTTCTGTTTATGCTTATGTGTCTGTATCGGAACATGACACCCCGAGATTTTGTTATATAATGAAAATACATTTCTTTAATAAATGCTTTGATAAATTTTTATCATATTTTATTTTGGAAACAAATTTCGCATCAGTTTTCTTTAGACGATTACTCTAATTTTAAAAACAAATCAGTCTTTTTCTGACTGTGAAATTGGGGATGTCGCAATATATATATATATATATATATATATATATGGAAGGGTTATTTGGAAAATAAAAAACCCTAAAAATCATAAAAATGCATAAAAAAATACCAAGACATCACAAATTTTTTTATCAAAAAATCGTAGTATTTTTTACAATTTCGCTGGAAAAAAAATCATTTTTTTTTTTGTAAAAAAAAATCAAAATTTTTTTCTACCGATTTTGACCTAAAAGTTGCGATTTTTGATAAAAAAAAATTCAAATTTTTTTTTTTGTGATCTCTAAGTATTTTTTTTATGTATTTTAATGATTTTTAGGGTTTTTTTGTTTTTCATAGAACCTAAACACACACACACACACATATATATATATATATATATATATATATATATATATATATATATATATATATATATATATATATATATATATATATATATATAAGTGTTCATTTGAAACATACATAATTTTGGGAGACCGTTGAGATCAAATTTTTTTTATTAAAATATTCTAATATTTTATTTTTCGTAAAAATAGAATACACAATATATTCTAGCATTATATGTTTTAGAATATTTCAATATAAAACATGTTAAAATTATTGTTTTAGAATATTAGAATATTACACATATTTAATTTTTATGAACACCAGAATATTAGAATATTCATGTCGGGTTATTTATTGTGTTGTATCAAATTTTCTATATATGTATTTAGCCTTAATTAAACGGATTGGCCCACTACTAGAAAAAAGACCTTTAACGACGCGCTTTTTACGACACGCGCTGATTAACGATACGCAATAGGACGTGCCCTTAAAATAGTGTTATCTCTCCAAAAAATTTAAGGATTTACGTCACGCATTATTGCGTGCCCTTAATTTAGTGTCTTAAGAAAAAAAATTAGAAACACGGAGGGCGCTTTATCTTAAACGTGCGTCGTCTGTACATGTCGCTTTATAATTTTAATGAAACGCGCTTTTAGTTAATGAAGGGGGAAACGAAATCCCCAAAATTTTGAAAACCCGCCTTGTTTTTTCTATCTTCAATCTATTTTTCATCCTTGCAATCCACTATCCCCTCTCTGATACTCTCTCCTGTAGATCTCTCTTCATTCTCTACCTCCCGTCTCTCTATAAACCTCAAAGGTGAATCGTAATTGATCTGCGAGGTCTCCTTCTTTTCTTTGTTTTCTCAGGTACAACATCATCCTAATCCATTAACCCCTTTCATTTTTCATTAAAAAAAACCCTAATTGACTTGGCAAGTTCATGAACCAGATGTAGCACATTCCAAACTGGGGAGTTAACCAAACCCGATAGAGCCATTGACGGAATCTTTGGATCCGGTCAACAAGGACTCTCTGTAATCACGGAACTTTCTTCACAAGGGATCGCTCCAGGTCTTCAATCTATCAATCTACAATGTCCACTATCAAGTTACATCGAATCAAGGTCTAGGGTTTCAAATGCTTCAAGTTCTTCCCAAATAATTTCCCCTCTCAAGACGATTTTCCTCGATTGTATCATTATGGCGATGATTCTCTCTCGATCGGATCGAAGACCGCTCACTCTCTCCTTAAATCTCCATGTGAGTCTGATCCCCCCTCTCTGTAACAGCCTCGCTTCCTTCCAAAAATCGAAGACCATTCTCTCTCGATCGTCTCTTTATGGCGAAATTTAGACACAATAATCTCAACATAAAATTCGTAACTGAACTCCTCTTCACCTCTACCCTACTCCATATACAACGACTCCTTAAATTTACAAACCCTAGTCCAGTTGCGCTTCTAGTCAAATCAGGTACCTATCTATCTGCTTTTTGAATTCTCCTGGATTGGAAATTTCTTGATACTTCGCTAGCTTTTAAACAAACAAAAATCAGTTTTTCTCTCAATAATTCGTTGGATTTTTCATTGGTGTTCCCCTTACTGGTTTCGATAACCTCTCTAATCTGTGAGGTTTGTGTTTACTTTCTTGCCCTCCCTCTCTCTAAGAAGAAAACGCAGCCTCATCGCCTTCAATCACCCAACGACATAGGTGGAACTCAAACTTCTCAGACCAAAAGAAATATTGTATGAAAGAAAAGCTATCCATTAATGGAAGAAGTGCAGGGGGGTTGCTTATTGGTGTTGTTGTGAACATGAGACCTGATTTATTTAAGGCTACTATAGTTGGAGTACCATTTGTAGATGTTGTAACTACAATGCTTGGTCCAACTATTCCTCTTACAACTGCAGAATGGGAGGTGATTTATATATAATATTTTTTTGTTTTGGAAACTCAAAGCAAGATGCTATGATAATATTAGTATGTTTCTTTCTAAATGTGAATGACTTGCTCTATTACAAGAATGGGGTGATCCTCGGAAAGAAGAGTTCTACTTTTACATGAAATCATATTCACCAGTTGATAATGTGAGTGCCAATGTATCTTGTTTCAGTTTAACTGACATAAATCCATCTGACAGATCATCAAATGAAAATGTTGAAGTTAATTACTGATGGGTGTCTATTTTGAATAGGTAAAAGCTTAGAATTATCCAGCCATAGTTGTTACTGTTGGAATAATGGTAGGTTGTCAAGAGTGATATTCAGGATGTGATTGATAAAGATGGTGAGGGGTTCACTATGGTCACAAAAAAAGCTGGAAATGCAGGGACTACTACTGTGAAGGGGTACGGTACAGGTGATATTCATCCCAATGTTTCTGGAAGCAAAGATAGTAATTGGAATGGAGGGAATAACAAAAGAGGAAGCTATAATAGTGTTAATAAGGGTAATAAAGGTTGGAATAACAGAAGTCATAGTGGGAATTGGAATAGGGGGAGTGTTAGCCATTGGAATCATCAAAAGAAACACAAGTTTGTTGCTGCAAATAATAAATCTTTCATTGTAGGTAAGCAGGGGCATAATGGGAAAGAGAGTGTGGATTCTAGGAAAAAAGAGGAAAAAGTGGATAAGGGAAAGGATTTTAAGGGTAGCCAAATTATAAATCTTTCATTGTAGATAAGCAGGGGCAGTCTTCTCCTGATTCTATGGAAAAGGTTGTCACATAATCAACTTTGTGATTGTATATTGATGATTATAGATTGGTGGCTTTGAGAATCTAACAATAACTTTAACTTTTTTTTCTTGCAGATATCAGCAGAATCCTGTCCTACTTCTGATCTGTTGGTCAATAATTCTGACAGTGGTCAAACTGAGGCTATAGAATCTAAGTGTGATACCAGGGTGAATTCCAATCTTGGGAACCATGATTGTTTAAATCCTATGAATGACATCCTTGATACCATGTAAGTTTGAAAATTTAATCATTGCAACTTACTAAGTATCAAAATAAGAAGGTTGGATGTTTTACTTTGTGATGTTTTTTTATTTATTGTTTTAGATGATTTGATTTCAAAGGTGATCAAGGTTCTTCTAGAAGAGATTGAGACACTAAGAAAATGAAACCGGGATGTTGTGTTGGTGAGCCAATATCTTTTTGAGCTTAGAGAAGTCAAGAAATAGGGGAGAAAAGAGAGAAGGCACAAGGAAGCCCAGAATGTGCTTGCAACTGCAACTACTGCTGCTGGAGCTTCTTCCAGGCTTTCATCTTTCAGGAAAGATACACTTGAAGAATCCGCTCGCCATGAGGTAGTTGACTCTCATTTTGTTAGATAACATTTTTAGGGGTAATTTCGTCATTCAAAACCGTTCTTATAATGTGATTTCTCTAAAAACTATCATTTCAGGGTGTTGAAAGTTCGTGCACACAGTGAATCTTGTAGAGCTGTTAGATTTATCAATGAAGGACTTGGTAATGAACCAACATTGTTTATACTTTATATACTCTTGAGCCATGTAATTTACTTTTTACCCTCAGTAGCAACATAGTTGCTATTTCTTTAAACTTTATTTTGAATGTGTGTTTTTGTCATCAGTGATCGTCACTGGTTCTCCATATTGTTCTATTCTTGCAATTGATATTGAAACAGGATCTCCAGTTAGTTATGGATGGATGTTCATACAATTAGGTATTATTTTCAATATTCATACAGTTAGTTATGGATGGATGTTCCAGGTGGGGGCAGATGTGCCTGCGCAAATCTTTAAGATGTCTCCCCGTTGATGTATCTTTGTGAGGATGGGTGCAAAAGACCATATTATGGTAGGCCATGTGACTTTTATGATGCAAAGAGAGAGCTTCTGTGAATAGGTGGGGGCAGATATTACTTCATAAATTATTGTTTTCTATATATATATATATATATATATATATATATATATATATATATATATATATATATATATTAATTAACCAGTTTGACTTGTCAACACGTGTAGAATGCAAATGATCCCACAAATACATTGTAGGTGAGGGTATAAAATGTTTAATTACCTTTTTACCCTTGAGGCTCGAGTTTAAATATTTACACAAAGTTTTTACAGCTGTGAGAGGGTATGGTTTATCCTACCCGTCATCTTCAGTGGTCCGCGTCCGGTTTTTACTGAATACACCTAGCATGCTGAATCTTAACCAAAAATCATTCTTTTTACTTCACAGATATCTGGACATTTCTATTTGCTATCAGAATTGTTACTTTGCTCTAAGAAATAATTGTCATAAACGGATTACTCTACCATACACAGGGGACAAATACCTGCTTCATAAACAAAGCACAAAATGGATCACAGTTATGACAATGGTGCCTCCAAGGCTGGAAAAGGGTGCCGGGGTGTTAGATAAGCCAGTAATAGAGAAAACAACTCCTGGAAGAGAGTCTGAGTTTGACTTGAGCTATTGTATCACTTTCAATGAAGTTTGAAATGCATATAGTAAAAGATTAGGTCAATTTACCTTTTTTTTTTTTGTTTTTTTAGGAAATCAAGGGAAATGGCACCACCATATAGAGTGATGCTACACAATGACAACTACAACAAGAGGGAATATGTTGTGCAAGTGTTGATGAAGGTTATACCTGGAATGATAGTTGACAATGCAGTTAATATCATGCTCTTGACCTGGACACCACTCTAATAGGGCTTTTCCAAAAAAAAAAAAATTGACCATCTTGAAAATATTGCAAAACCACAGGGTGGAAATATCTCTGCAATTACATGTGATTTATCAGTAAGTATAATCTTTAATTTTAATCCATTCAAATATGTGACATGGTTTTGTTTTATTTATTTATATTTATACTCATGTATATAATGTATAAAAAAATTACATAAACAGGAATTATGTAAAGATTGGTTATCAATTTTAATGATTATTACTTCTGCACGATCTTCAATTAGCATAAGACACTTGGAGAAAGCAACAGTGTCTACTGGAAAAGAAGGCTTGTTATCTGAAGGGAATGGTCTACTGGAAAAGAAGGCTTGTTACATTTTTGGTTCTTGTTCCCAACTTTACTTGGAACAGGGGCCAAAAGTGTAACTTACTCTAAATTTTATATGTAAATTTTATTTTATATTTTGAAGGGAAATTTACTGAATATTGATTGGTTGATGCAGTTAACTAGAATTGGTCGAGATGCAGTTTTATATGTTGAGTCGCTCATTGAGTCAATCATGGGAGGATTTGAAGAGCTAACCAACATTCTTGATTCTGAAGGAGGTTTTGGCTCTTTGGAGACACATGTTCTTACTATTTTATCAATTTCCTTAAAAAGTTACCAAATTCATGTATTAAATTTGATAAAGCTAACTTAATTGCTTTTTTTAAATCCTAGCTTCTACCAGAAGTCAGCTGAAACTACAAATGGCTTTTGATGGGCAGGAAAGATATATGAAGGTATGATCTATATTGTAATTCAGATTTTATAACTTTTATCATGTAATCTCTTAAGTCTTAATACCCATTATTCCTTATGCATGTAGAGATCTTGGGAGCCAAGTGATAAAGCTGATCTTCACTTTGTCTACAAAGATGTTGAAGGAGTATCAACTCAATGGGATGATATTCAAAGAAAACTCAGGAACTTACCTCCTAAACCCTCTGCCTTCAAACCCGATCCCTTCACTCCTGCAGAAGATGAAGATTCCAAAACTAAAACCAAATCTCGGATCGATAAAAAGACAGAAGAACTCAAAGATTTAGAAGATGATCTTGATGATAGTTGTTTCCTCAAAGAATACAAGTACCTTCAACTCCCTTAATCCTAATATCATTTTATGAGTGTATTAAATTTCATGTGATATTTTCGTGGTTTCATTTTCTTTTGTGTTCTTGAAGCAGAAAGAGGTTAGCAGAGATGAAGCAAACAGTGGAAGTTTGAACTCGGAAAGTTCGGGCATCATCTATGGTGGCCCGGGCAGCATCTATTTCAATATTGATTGTGTGAAAGTCATCTACTAAAGCAAGGTTGGTGTAAGAGTTGATGAAGAGAACATTGTTCCAAGACCTTCAGTGAGTTATGATGATGTCCCTTAATAGCAATGTAGTATGAGGTTATATAGTTACCGATGATTACTTGTATTTGACATTTTATGCAATGAATTATCTTACTTATTCATTGTATTTTATTTTGTATCTTGTATGACATTAATTTTTGTGCAATGGATTGTATTTTTTGTATATGGTGTTTTATTTCTATTATGAGAAATTAAATGCAAATTTAATTTAAAAATTAATAAATATATAAATTTATTTTTTTAAACATTTAAATTTACGATACGCAAAAATGTGTGTCATCTTCATTTATGACATGGCCTTTCTTGACAGGGGCTTTCTTGATACGCATTGCGTGTCATTAACACGCGCGTCGTAAGGTTACGACACGCGAACGCGTGTCATCTTCCTTTATGACAAGGCCTTCCTTGATACGCATTGTGTGTCGTAAACACGCGTTGTTATTGCACGTCGTAAATGAGCGTTGTAAAAGCGCGTCGTCTATAGACGACTCGCAAAAGCGCGTCGTCTCTCTTTATGACAGGGCCTTCCTTGACACGCATTTGCGCGTCGTCTGAGCCTTTTACGACGCGCAATGAGCGTCGCAAAAGGCTGTTTTTCTAGTAGTGGCCTGTCCATCCGTATTTATGGTGCTAGGATTAGGCTGTAAATATTGCATGCATGTGTTGTATTAGGGTTAGTCAATTGTATCACCATACATCGCCTTTACAGAGAAGTTCACACATAACTTTTCTATTTGATAATATAATCATTCGACACCTTTTTGATCAATTATTCTTCTTGTTTTGATTCACTTTTCTGTTAAAGGATCTATCGATTTTAAGTTTATTGATTCAACAATTGGTATCAGAGTAGGAGATGGTGTAATTTCATATGCATATCTTCTGTCGAGTTTATTAGGGTTTTAAGTTTTTGTAAGATCCGTTCTTGTCCTCTTCATCGTTCTCATCGATTGCAGGCGATAGATCTGGTTTCTTTTTTAGCCCTAAACTCGATTATTATATAACACATCTGATTCTTAACAGGTTTTGTGAATCAACATCATGCAACCAGAAGATCCACACACTCTCTTTCCTTTATTCTATCAAGCAGCATCAGATCTACTACCAGGATCCCTATTTTTTTCTGCAAGATTATGAAGTATAGGCGCTTCACTTCGAGGAATACATGCAAGGTCTTGAAGATCATGGTTCATTAATATGGGAATCAATAACCCAACAGTCGTTTTCTCACACTGCTACAAGGAAAGTCATTAAAACTCAAGCAGAATACAACACTCTTCTCATTTAACAAACGAACATTCCTAAAGATGAAAATGAGAAGTTAATGAGTATCGTCAAGGCAATGAGGATTATCATATTCATTCTTCCTCCATACACGTTTTGTCTGGTGAGTTCTTGTGAATAACGAAGGAGATATGGGATAGGCTGAAAGAATTCTATTCAATTGATGCAGATCTTGAACATTCCTTTCAAACACTACTTCTTTCAAAGTTTGGTGTCTTTGCTCAAAAGTCTAATGAAAATCTTGATCAGACTTTCAATCGTTTTAATCATCTCTTAAGCAGGATGTTAAAACATAAAATCAGACGTGAACTGATAGAGAAAAAGGTGACGTTCATGAACAGTTTAAGATCGAAAGGGAAAGGAAATTTGTTTGATGAAGAAGAAGAAGAAGATCTATCAGAAGGGGGTAAGCTTAAAAGAAAGAAACATGACCAAGAGCTTGATGAAGCTCAGCATGTTGCAAAGGAAGCTGAAGAAGCTGAAAAAGAGGCTCATGATGCCCAAGTCACACTAAAAACTCAGAAGGCCCTCTTCCTTCCTTGGTCCATGGAGCGGTTTCTGAACGGGCAATCGATAATCCGAATGTGTATAGGTTGGAGCCAGTTGTTTCATTTGAATTATAAAAACACTTTCAAGTCACAGCTTGACTTTCCAATCACTCTGAAAGCTTTACTATTTAGATGTTTTGAGAGAATTGTGAACGCTCCCGATTCGGACAACGATGTTGAACAAACGCTTCTTTCTTTTTGCCTCAAGCACGGAAAGCATCAATATCAAACATGGAGTTCAAAGAAGATTTCTACGGTTAAAGTTTTTGGGCCAATTCAAACTGAAATCTTCATCAATGTTCGATTCAAAGCTGTCAGAGGAGCAGGGAATTCGACCTTTGAGTTCACTCTTGTTGAATTGCCATGCCTAAATCCTTACAATTGGATTTCTCTGTTCTCCCTATTTTCCAAAGATGATCAGAAGTTTGAGCCAATTATAGCTTATTTGAAAAGAATGTTAGTTTCCTATATTCATGAAGTTAGGAAAATGGATGTAGAGATCGCTGCTGTACTCCGAAAGAAACCCATTGTGCAACCAAAGGAAGTTCTGATGGACATCAGCAAGATGAGGTTGGGAAAAATAAAGAAAGACAACTGGAGTGTGGCATTTTAACAACGTGATAAAAAAAGGCGTAAATGCTCAGAAGTGCTTATTCTCCTTGCCAAACAAGCATCTTTATTCCATATCTTGTTTGAACTACATATTAGGAATAACTAAACAATGCAACGTGAATGATGTTGCGGATAACAAATGCTTTGCAAATACGATCAAATGGTATATCACAGTTTGTAACACTTTGCTTGGATTAATGCCAAAACTTTTCAAGGATCATAAGCGCCAACAACACCGAACAATTTCCTTCCTTATTTGACACAAATGGGGAGATTGTTGGGTTATTAATTGTGTTGTGTCAAATTTTCTATGTATGCATTTAGCCTTAATTAAACGGATTGGTCTGTCCATCCGTATTTATGGTGATAGGGTTAAACAATTAATATTGCATACATGTTTTGTAGTAGGGTTAATCAATTGTATCGCCCTACATCGCCTTTACAGAGAAGTTCACACATAACTCTTCTAAAGTTTTGATAATATAATCATTTGACACCTTTTTGATCAATTGTTCTTCTTGTTTTGATTTACTTTTCTGTTAATGTCACACCCCCAAACCGAAACGGCGGAAACGTTTGGGGGTGGAGGACGTCATGTACAGTATCACAACAATTGCATCATAGTAATCAAAGTAAACACAACCATTACCTTGAAATATAGGCATATAAATCTGTTTGTTACATAGTTTGAGTACATCAAAAGTATACAAAATAACAAGACATGACTCTATACGCTTCGTCTTCTCAAAAACTTGCGGGAGTACTGTTGGGTTTTGAGCAATCTAACACTTCCTAAGTGTGCATGCAACCCTAATAAACCTTGGATCTATGTTTGTCTAAATACATGCAAAATAATAATTTTCCAAGGTTCATAACCTATCTAACATGGCATGGGGTACTTTTAAACATAAATGAATTAGATGAGATTACATACCTTTTGATGAGTTTGATTCTTAAGGAGTTTGAGGGCCAAGCACCAATAGTGTGAATGCCTCAAATGGAATCACAAATCACCACAAACTCTTGGAAAACTTTGAGAGACTGTATACACACTTATAAAATCGGCCACACACAAACACACACACTAGTGGCTATTTCATGCAACATAAGCATGCTTATATAGTGTGCATGGTTAGGGTGAAACCCTAATAACCCATGACCTTTCCTTTTCCAAGGATCCATGGGGTAAAAGCTCCATGGATCATCCATGGACTTCCATACAAGCCTAGCCCATTAACAAATGGGTGTTAGCCCACACCATATAAAACCAATAGCCCACAATCTAATTAGTCTTCCTTTTAATCTCTAAATTAATTCATAATTAATTTAAGACTAAGACTAATTAAATAACATGACTTCATATTAATATATTATAACTTATAATATATTAATAATCATATGTGTATAACTCTCATAAAATTATCCATAAATAGTTTGGATGAAATGCAACCCAAATGGACCATGCCGGGCCAGGTCAAGTATATACCAAATAAGTTATGGACTTAGACACCTTATCCAACAGACTCCCACTTGGATAAGTCTAATAACTGTATTTGCCTATATTACTTCAGGAACCAACCAGCAATCGTAGCTCTCGAAAACTCTGTTGAACTATGAAGCGCCATTTTAAGATAAGTGATCATACAATCCTCTGTTCTCATGATATCAGTCGGACAAACACATGGAACTATGTCTTGCTTATTGTCTGGAAGTTGTTTCTCAATTTCCGATTTGATTGACAAAGAACTCAATTGAACACATCAATTTAGTTCTGACCGGGCCCGGTACATGGGTCAACACAAAATCATCGAGGGGCCCAGATATCGCTTCTATTTCTAGAAGGAACAGATAAACTTCGACTCATATACTTGTTCTACTACTTTTTGAATTGTACACAAAGGCACGTTTTATAACATCAAGTTACTGATGCGTTTACGTGCAATCAATGCACAACCAACTCATAGGTACCAACTCATATCTCTAGGTTTGAAGACTTATATGATATTACCGTCTCACGATCACTCGAGATAAATTCCATGAAGTGATATAAGTGAGCGTGGGTTTATTCCAATACTCATAACTTATGAGTACTCATGAATGTTGTAGCAACCATTGCCATGTCTAAACACTTTTATCCATCTACAAACCCAATTCATGACAATCTTGATTCAGACCTACTTCTGACGTATGACCGATTGTGGAGGTTTGAATAAATTAATTATTCTGGAAGTCAAAACATGCAAAGCTGAAACAATTGTAAATAATTGACAATGATAGCAACATCTTACTCATAAATAAATC